TACCTGTAGAGCATCTTTATAATCACCTAGTTATGTTGTGACATTTGATAGCACACAAGATATTCCTCCGGTATCCGGGAGTTGCATGATCTCATAGTCAAAGGAATACGTATATGCCATGAAGAAAGCAATAACAATAAAACTTAACGATCATTATGCTAAGCTAACAGATGGGTCTTGTCCATCACATCATTCTCCTAATGATTTGATCCCGTTCATCAAAGACAACACATGTCTATGGTTAGGAAACTTAACCATTTTTGATTAACAAGCTAGTCTAGTAGAGGCTTACTAGGGACACTGTGTTTTGTCTATGTATCCACACATGTATCAAGTTTCCGGATAATACAATTCTAGCATGAATAATAAACATTTATCATGATATAAGGAAATATAAATAACAACTTTATTATTTTCTCTAGGGCATATTTCCTTCACTAATCACCACTCGTCGTTGATGTTAGTCCGTAATGTTGCTAACACTTCAACATTGATGCAGTCTACGATATGGTACTTCTTTGTGAGAAAGCGATACCAAAATTGGCGCAAATACTTGTGGGGCTTCTGCACCACCAGAGCCAAGTCATCGACATTTGTGGGCTTTACATATGTGTCCTATAAGTTTGACAAGAATTCGGACTCTAAGTTGTCCCATGTGCCGATCAAATTCAGCAGAAGGGTGTGCAGCCAATGTCAACCCGAGCCTTTCAGCTTCAATGGTAGCTATTTATGGCGTGCAAGTCATCGCCACTTGCTATGTGGATGGTGAGGGTATAATCCTCGATCCAAACTTAAGGATCGGCCGATCCATCATATTGCATGGTGTTAACGGGTTTAAAGCCAGACAGGAAACTATGCTCCATTAACTCATTTGTGAAGCAAATAGGATGGGTTGCGACCCTGGTGTGGGCGATGGCATGACGCACATTTGATCCATGCATGTCCCGGTACTTGGTGTAGTCATGTGGGTTTTGGTACTTAGACTGCGAGGCCAGGCGCCGGCCTGTCCTGGCGCTACCTGAGGCGCTGCCTGGTTTGGTACAGTTTTCGAGTAGCCAAGATCTTGGGTCGGGCAGTTTGTTTGCCCCCTGCATGGTCATCAAAGTGTACTACCAAACTACCTTCGCATCGCCACGAGCATCTTTGCGTCGAGGATCTTTCACCGGAAGGCCGCGTTTGCCAGTGTCATCCCTCCATTCGTCAAAGCGAGGAGGTCGGGTATCGTTATGTGGATCTTTAGCCCACTAGCACTTAGATATTGCACTCTCCTCGGCAACTTCATCAAGGTCCTACAACATGTTCCTATAGTAGTCGAGCGACGCTTTATTGTTTGCCACCTGCCTCATCTTGGCCTTGAGCGTACTCCAAGTTGCCAAACCTAATGATTTGACCAGGAGCAAAACTCTCGACCTGTCCTAGATGGTCGATCGGATCAGCAAAGAGGATGCTGCTACTGAAAACAAAGATATGGCCTGGCGCATAGGTCATGCCAGAATCGATCTGCTTACCCATGTTGATCCCCATCGATGCTTGCGGCTACTCTGTGAGGACCTATGTGGGCCACCAATCGCGAAGTTGATTCTGGCGAATCTTGGGTAGGGGTTCCTGATGACCCACAAGTATAGGGGATCTAGCGTAGTCCTTTCAATAAGTAAGAGTGTCGAACCCAACGAGGAGCAGAAGGAAATGACAAGTGGTTTTCAGCAAGGTATTCTCTGCAAGCACTGAAATTATCGATAACAGGTAGTTTTGTGATATGATAAATCGTAATGAGTAGCAAGTAAATAAAGTAACTAAGGTGCAACAAGGTGGCCCAATCCTTTTTTGTAGCAAAGGACAAGCCTGGACGAACTCTTATATAATGCAAAGCGCTCCCGAGCACACATGGGAATTGTTGTCAAGCTAGTTTTCATCATGCTCATATGATTCGCGTTCGTTACTTTGATAATTTGATATGTGGGTGGACCGGTGCTTGGGTGCTGTCCTTCCTTGGACAAGCCTCCCACTTATGATTAACCCCTCTCGCAAGCATCCGCAACTACGAAAGAAGAATTAAGGTAAACCTAACCATAGCATGAAACATATGGATCCAAATCAGCCCCTTACGAAGCAACGCATAAACTAGGGTTTACACTTCTGTCACTCTAGCAACCCATCATCTACTTATTACTTCCCAATGCCTTCCCCTAGGCCCAAATAATGGTGAAGTGTCATGTAGTCGACGTTCACATAACATCACTAGAGGAAAAGACAACATACATCTCATCAAAATATCGAACGAATACCAAATTCACATGATTACTTATAACAAGACTTCTCCCATGTCCTCAGGAACAAACGTAACTACTCACAAAGCATATTTATGATCAAGATCAAAAGAGTATTAATTATCATTAAGGATCTGAAAATATAATCTTCCACTGGATAAACCAACTAGCATCAACTACAAGGAGTAATCAACACTACTAGCAACCCACAGGTACCAATCTGAGGTTTGGGGACCAAGATCGAATACAAGAGATGAACTAGGGTTTGAGAGGAGATGGTGCTGGTGAAGTTGTTGATGGAGATTGACCCCCTCTCGATGAGAGGATCGATGGTGATGACGATGGCGATGATTTCCCCCTCCCGAAGGGATGTTTCCCCGGCAGAACAGCTCCGCCGGAGCCCTAGATTGGTTCTACCCAGGTTCCGCCTCGAGACGGCGTCCCTTCGTCCCAAAAGCTTCCTTCTTGTTTTTTCCAGGTCAAGACACACCATATAGCCAAAGATGGGCACCGGAGGCCTGCCAGGGGGCCCACAAGGTCGGGGGGCGCGCCCAGGGGTTAGGGCACGCCCTTCACACTTGTGGCTGGCTGGTGGCCCCCCTCTGGTACTTTCTTCGCCCAATTTTTTTATATATTCCAAAAACATGCTTCGTGAAGTTTCAGGACTTTTGGAGTTGTGCAAAATAGGTCTCTAATATTTGCTCCTTTTTCAGTTTAGAATTCCAGTTGCCGGCATTCTCCCTCTTCATGTAAACCTTATAAAATAAGAGAGAATAGGCATAAGTATTGTGATATAACGTGTAATAACAGTCCATAATGCAATGAATATCAATATAAAAGCATGATGCAAAATGGACGTATCAGGTCCCGAGCTTGTAGCCTAGATGCCATGGTAACAAGGGCACGAGGTTTAACCCAGATCTTGGCTAATACCCTACGTCATGCTTGTGTTTGTATTGATTTGGGGTAGAGCACAAAGTAGAGGTTGATCTACCACGAGATTGATCTCTATCATCTATGATCCCTACCAGTCAGTTTATATAGGTACCAGGGGGCCTAGGGTTACAGATAGGTCAGCTACACATAAGGTAAATGTATTGTAGACGACCTCTAAGTTTTGAAGTATGCGCCAAGTCTTCGGAAATATTCCTTCTACGCGCCATGGGCCTTCTGGAGATGGCATACTAGTGAACTGCCATGGAGTTCCTCGGCCCGACCCACTTGGCCAGGAGACGATGTGGTGAGTGACCCCTAGTCTGGGATACCATCAGTTAGGATGATTTCAGATATAGAAGTGATATGTGGTGAATCTCTCAAACTTATGCTAGACCATATGATTTGAGCTTTGATCATAATACCACAGCAGTTGAAGTTGTGTAGAAAGGTTGGAATGATTTCAGATTTAGAAGAGTGCTACGGGGTGACACTTTATTGTTGTGGAATAGTTTGAAATTAAGATGTGAAGAAATGGAGATGTATGGTAGAAAAGATTATTTTAGCTGGATGTTAATATTTGATGCAAGGTTTACTGTTAAGTCATTTTGTATAGACAAATGATCATAGTGGAAAGTGGCTTTCCTCAAAAATCCTTGTGGAAGATCAATGTTCCGCCTAAAAACAATGTCTTTCAATTTTGTGGTTAATGGTTAAAAATAGCATCCTTATTAGGAACAATTTACTTAAGAGGGGCGGGTAGGGTAGCAAAAATGTGCATCCTGTGGGCAGGATGGGAGCATTGAACATTTGTTCTTTCATTATTCATTTGCTAGGATAGTATGGAGTCTTTTTAAATGTGCTTTTGACTTAAGAAAAAATCCAAAAAAAGTTAGATGGTTGCTTTGGAAGTTGGATTAGGAGCTTCCCAAAAGAAAACAAGAAATTGGTACTTGTTGGGGTTGCTGCTCTTTTTTTGGACTACTTGGAAATGTAGAAATAATATTGTGTTTGAGAAAAAAATTGTTAATTAATTCAATTGTGCAAATCAAATTGAGTAGTTCAGCGGATAATAAGTTGGTCGATATTACAGATAAAGTAGGAACACCAAAAGGTGTTGATGCTGACAGCAAGGCTCATAGAGCGGGTAGCAAGTGAGGTGTATCACGCTTCACAAGGGTGGCTCATGGTGTTCTTCGTATCAGTGTCTGAAGCTCCTTGTTGGCGACTTCCCTAACGATGACCACTCTTTAGGGTTCTTTGCGCTTGGATGCATTAGTTCTTTTTTGCAGTTCTTTCCTATCTAGATGTCCTAGTTCTATGCTGGTCAGGTTTGTTTTTTAGGCCCTGTTTGGTTTGCATCTTAAGGTTGCCATGCCTAAGCTTAGTCGTGCCCATAATATTTTAGGCATGTGTTTGGTTCAACATGGACCAAAAGATGGCCGTACTTATAAGGAGCCAACTTATCAATTAGCCCACCAGGACCACCACTAGCTTTCAAATTAACACTAATTTTGCACTGTGCGCAATTGCAAAGCATGGATAGCCATGGACCGAACGAATTAGGAGGCCAAACAAACTGCAAGGTTACGTCCTAGAATGGATGTCATTCTGTACCACGACGTTTTGCATGAGAATGGAATACAGAGCATTGAACAACGGAACTAAATTTGTGCACACATGGAGCCTACACCTATACACCCGAGACCATGAACGCAAATCTCGTCATCCCGCACCAATTAGCTGCTGTACTTTGCATCCTACACAGGAGAGGGGCCAACGCGCGCGGCGTTCGGGGGATCAGCTGCAGAGTGCCAGCCTCCAGTAGTCGTGGTTGGAGTCGACGTGGCAGAGCACGGCGAGGAAGATGTCCTCGTCGCAGGGCAGGCAGAGCCTGGCGTCGGCGGCGAACTCGTACTCTTCCCGCGCGCGGTCGAGCAGCTCCCGGAACAGCGGGTGGTCGAGGGAGGAGACCCGGACGACGTACCGCCGCAGCTCCTCCCCGACGTACACCACCGTGTGGCCCCTCGGCACGTCCACCGGGATGGCCTCGTCTCCGGCCTCGAGTTGCGCCCACGCGCTCGCCGTCGGGCCGAGCAGCTGCAGCTCGGCGCTGAGCTTCCTGCAGGCGCCCAGGAAGGACCTGAGGAGCCTCCTGTTGGATCGCCGTCCTCCCTTCATGCCGCTCGAACGTACCATGCGTACGTGTGTCTGTGTGGCACTGTGTGGCACTGCTGCGTATATTCTGTATATATACGCGGTCATGCAACTGGGCCTGTGCCTTGTGGATTGGTCGACATTAATGGTTGTAGCCTCAGAGGCATGTGCTATGTTTGTTTAGCTTGTGGCAAGCTGCAAAACTAGACTCTCGAGGTGACGTTTGGATGTGCGTACGCCAAAGAGAACGAAAGAAAACCGATCGTACATTGGTATATACGTTTGCACGGTCTAGGCCGCAACGGCCAAGGGGATTCCTTATGTCACTTATCGTTATGCGGGCAACTTTTAGTTGCATCCACAGTGATGTAAAGCCGTCGTCGCGATCGTTGAAAATTACCTGTGTCTGCATTAAGTCGTGCATGTGCTGCCATTAGCGTACAGCCGTACACCATCATCAGTGGCCTACCTTTATATGGATGGATCAACCGAGGCAGCAGTGCTCCTGAATTCCGCCACGATATTCCGGTCAAATGAGTGCCTTGCAGTCTCCAGCAACCACTGCGTACAGCTTGACACGAATTTATAGGCAGGCGCATGTTGACCACGCAAAGGCCACAGCCCTTGACAGAATATAAAACAGTTCTTAGACGGTACGAGATAGTCCCGGCGTACGTCCTTGAACGTATGGAGCTGGTACATCACCGTGTACGTACTACGTAGTCCTTTTCTCCTCCTCCCATCTCCTTCAACCAAAATGGTCGATCGACGTCACGAAGATTCTGGAGCGGCACGCTCTCTCTCCAATAATGGGAGGAGGATCGAGCGGCCGAGCAACTAACTGCGTCTCGAAGTTGTCGAAGGAGTTAGATTCTTGCACACATCGCCTTGAGGTCGGGGAGGAGATAAGCTAGGGCGCGAGGAGAGGAATGGGGCTCGCGGCCTCATTGGACGGGGCGACGGCGGCGGCGGCATTCATTGCGGTGAAAGGAAGCTCTGCCGGGACTGCTCCTCACTCTCCGGAGCCACCGGCCGGCGGCCGAGCGGTGCGCTGCCAGCTTCACATTCTGCTTTCGAGGTGAAGGAAGTACGTGCATCCTGGGCGGCGGCGGCATGGGAAGAATTGGACGACGGGTGCGTGGTCTATTCCTCGCTTGCTGCAAGTAATGCGGTCACATTGCTCATTTCTTTTTTCTACGTGGGCCGGCCGAGTAAGAATCCTGCTGTATCAATTAGGCAGTACCTGTTTCTTCTTCCTTTTCCTTTTGAGCTGAGCACGTGTCTTCTTGCACATAGATATATATATATTGGTAATCTACTGAAGTACGACCATTTTCTATTTTTATTTTAAATGCTTCTTATCATATATATTTTTTGTAAACTATATTTTTCACTGGTTTTATATCAAAAGTAGAAGCAAAAAAAAGTGTACATGTTGCAAATCAATGTTCATGTAACGACGAAAAAGTGTCCGTATTTAAAAAAAATGTTCATCCAACTAGAAATTTATTTGCATATTTTTAATTCAAAAGTAGTATTTTTATAAATGTACATGTAAATCAATAACGTTCTTCGTCTATGAAAAATATTGTTCATTGCATTTTTCACAAAGGTTCAGCATGTATTGAAAAACATCATCGCGTATTAAAAAGCATCAGAAATTTAAAAAAATGTTCATCATGTTTGTACAGAAGGGTTATATTATGCATTAAAAATGTTCATCACATATTTAAAAAAATTCATAGTGTATGAAAAAATTGGTTGTCGTATTCTTAATAAACGTTCATCATAAACTTGAAACAGTCATATGAAAATGTTTATGGTGCAATAAAAAATTATCTTGTATAAAAATTGTTCATGAAGTATTAAAAAATATTTATCCCATATCACAAAAGTTTCCATCATATTTTGGAAAGAAAGTTTCATCGCACATTTAAAATATAGCAATCGCATATTAAAAATCAGAGGAGCGGATTTGGAAGAAAAAAAATGGTATCTTGGTCCGGCCCATGTACATGAGACGTGTGGGCGAGCACTTGTTATAATTCACAACAAGATTATAGCTTTTGTCGAGTTACACGGGATGACATTGTTATGCACCAGGTGCTGAAGATAGAACGACCGAGAAAGGTGCAGTCACTTTGTAGCAACCTGCTAGTGAGAAGACCCACGAGTCGATCGGCAATTCCCATCATGAGAAGAGACAAAAATGAATGACATACTAGTTGAGATTCATCACATGGAATAAATCTCATGGCGCAAAGGTCTCGGATTTAGGGGCTCGCGGCAGGGGACAAAAACTCACAAAAAGCCACCAAAACCATTTTATAAAATCCTCGGTGGTGTATGAGCTGAGCATGCGAAGGAGGGAAAATATATTTTTGCCAAGGGGTGATGGCTTCACCACAGAGGATCTCCGCGAGATGAAGATGTTGTCTATGTCCTTTTATAAAACCCTTTTGAATCTGAAGGCGGTTCTTGAGCCTTATGGCAGTGAGGAAGTCAAAGTGGCCCTTTTTAGATGTTTTCAATTAAAGCCCTCAGGCGTAACGGCTACTCAGTTCACTTTTTACGATGACATTGGGGACTCTATGGTGTGGAGGTTGCAGCGAAAGCTCTTTCTATCCTACATAGAGAATAAAGTGTTTTTCAGGAGTAACTTTGTGTTCATTGCAAAAAGCATCCATAGCACATACACACAACATTTACCCAAAGGGCATAGAAATACATGAGTCCCATACATTTGCACAAAGAACCTCAAAAGAAATAAAGTTCAAACTCGGTCCAACGAGACCATTGCACATATCGTCATCTACGCTTGTTGCCGACCATGGTCATCGTTGAAGCACCGCTGGAGATAGGACAAACGAGCAGCCCCGCAAACTGAATCTACCGAAGCACCATAGCTGAAGCAGCTTTGCGAATGATTGAGCAGCCCGTTGTAGAACGACACGGCCGAATATTTGTGGCTTGTCGGCCGGGGAACATCCCCGTGCTCGTCAGATTGCAGATCCGCCGACTCCGCTCGACGCCGTCGAAGGAGGGGATCAGATCAGCTCGCCATCTTCCACAATCCCTTGTACGAGGTCACCATATCCCAAGGGTCACCGACGCCGCCACCATACAAAGAGGGAGCCACCATCGGCTGGATCACCCCAAAGCATCCTCCTAGGCCCTTGAGCTGTGCTGGAGGAGACACCGCCAAGACGGAGGCGGACCCGGAGGACAAAGGACAAGAGCTAGGTCACCGTCGTTGTCTCGCCAACCTAGCTCTACCACCCAGATCTCGTTAGCCACGCATGACCCACGAGCAAACTGTTGCTCTCCCTTATCTCCCAACTGAAGGAAATATGCCCTAGAGGCAATAATAAAGTTGTTATTTATATTCCCTTATATCATGATAAATGTTTATAATTCATGCTAGAATTGCATTAACCAGAAACTTAGTACATGTGTGAATATATAGACAAACAGAGTGTCACTAGCATGCCTCTACTTGACTAGCTCGTTAATCAAAGATGGTTAAGTTTCCTAGCCATGGACAAGAGTTGTCATTTGATGTCAGGATCACATCATTAGAGAATGATGTGATTGACTTGACCCATCCGTTAGCTTAGCACGATGATCATTTAGTTTGTTGCTATTGCTTTCTCCATAACTTATACATGTTCATATGACTATGAGATTATGCAACTCCCCAATACCGGAGGAACACTTAGTGTACTATCAAATGTCACAACGTAACTGGGTGACTATAAAGATGCTCTACAGGTGTCTCCGATGGTGTTTGTTGACTTGGCATAGATCAAGATTAGGATTTGTCACTCTGTGTATCGGAGAGGTATCTCTGGGCCCTCTCGGTAATGCACATCACTATAAGCCTTGCAAGCAATGTGACTAATGAATTAGTTACGGGATGTTGCATTACGGAACGAGTAAAGAGACTTCCCGGTAACAAGATTGAACTAGGTATTGAGATACCTACGATCGAATCTCGGGCAAGTAAACATACGATGACAAAGGGAACAACATATGTTGTTATGTGGTTTGACCGATAAAGATCTTCGTAGTTTATGTAGGAACCAATATGAGCATCCAGGTTTCGCTATTGGTTATTGACCGGAAGCGAGTCTCGGTCATGTCTACATAGTTCTCGAACCCATAGGGTCCGCACGCTTAACGTGCGGTGACGGTCGGTATTATGAGTTTATGTGTTTTGATGTACGGAAGGTAGTTAGAAGTCCTGGATATGATCACGGACATGACGAGGAGTCTCGAAATGGTTGAGACATAAAGATCGATATATTGGAAGGCTATGTTTGGACATCGAAATGGTTCCGGGTGAGTTCGGGCATTTACCGGAGTACCGGGGGGTTACCGGAACCCCGCGGGGACTGTATGGGACTTATTGGGCCTTAGTGGGAGAGAAGAGGAGGTGGCCAAGGTGGAGGGCGCTCCCCCCCCCACAAGCCCAATCCAAATTGGGTGGGGGGCCGGCCCCCTTCCTTCCCTCTCTCTCCCCCTTCCTTTCTCTCCTACTCCAACAAGGGAAAGGGGATCCTACTCCCACCGGGAATAGGACTCCCCCCTTGGGTGCTCCATGAGAGGGCCGGCTCTTACCCTCCTCCACTCCTTTATATACGAGGGAGGGGGCACCCCATAGACACACAAGTTGATTGTTTAGCCATGTGGGTGCCCCCCTCCATAGAATTCCACCTCGGTCATATCGTTGTAGTGCTTAGGCGAAGCCCTGCGTCGGTAACTTCATCATCACCGTAATCACGCCGTCGTGCTGATGAAACTCTCCCTCGACCTCAAGTGGATCTAGAATTCGTGGGACGTCACCAAGTTGAACGTGTGCAGATCGCGGAGGTGTCGTACCTTCGGTGCTAGGATCGGTCGGATCGTGAAGACGTACGACAACATCAATCGCGTTGTCATAACGCTTCCACTTACGGTATATGAGGTTACGTGGACATCACTCTCCCCTCTCGTTGCTATGCATCACCTAGATGGATCTTGCGTGTGCGTAGGATTTTTTTTGAAATTACTGCGTTTCCCAACAATCGCTTCAGAGCCAGGTCTATGCGTACATGTTATATGCACTA